GTATGCCATAACAGCCCACTTGCACGCTGTGAGAGAGGCAAAGTGAAGGGGAAGGTGTTAAACACAGGGAAAAGCTCAAGAATGAGGCTGTCCTTGACGACAGAAAGGACACACATTGTAAGGATGGGGTGGATGTATATCGTCACATGAATATCAGAGCGCAAAAGCGAAAAAAAAAGAAAACGAAAAAAAAGAAAAGAATGAATTCGGTTTTTATCTTCTTCCTTACAACTCCACCGTCAGAACCTCTTGCGTACAAGGCCGCCCACGTGGATGTAGGTTGAGTGGCGGCTGCCCCCACCCCCGTGTGTTGACTAAGAGCGCAAGCACGTGAAGTAGAAGAAGAAATAAGATGAGCAAAGGAAGAAAAATGAAAGGACAGACAGGCAAAGAGAAACAAACTAGAATGACACAAAACAGTGTCCTCTTCTTCTTTGTTACACTGTATTCTTACTTCTTTCAGTGTTTTACAAAATGTTTTTACACTGAACAAAGGACAAAAATAAAAAACAAAGACACATTGACATCATTCAATTTCTCAGTCTTCTTAAGACCTCCACCGTGCCTCTAACGTACAAGGCCCACCACGTTGATGAAGTTGAGCGCGAGCTGCCCCCTATAGTCATAGGGTACAACCCGGTGAACCACAGGCATGAAGGGATTAAAGGATAAGAAACCGGAGGCCGCGACACTGCCGATAACCGTACCTTGGTGAGCATGACCACAATGAATCCACTTTCTGTGATGTTGTTTTCCACCAATGACGTCTCATCCTTCAGAACCTTCCCCTGATATATCAGCACTTGGTTTTCCATCGGGTACATCTCCTTCCCCTGAGAATCTTGAATTTTCTCCTTCACATTGCGCACCTACAGCACAAGACCGCACACAAAGTGACGAGTCCTTATCCATCAGCCAAATACATCCTGGGCAGACTCTGTTAGGGTTTAACCTCCAGACGAGTCGATGAAAGTCCAACAAATCAATCTGGAACAGTCATGGTCTATGGAGCTGTCTATACCGAAAAAGACAAAACACAACCGCACACGCACACAAACACTCTCTCTCTCTCTCTCTCTCTCAAAATCAGCGGGGGGGGTACACCGTTGTCCAGTTAAACCATAAAGCACCCACTCTGTCAACTTGCACAAATAGACAAATGTTTGTCTGCTACTTGCGGGCAATATCCAAAAGGGAAAACTAACTTTGGCACTCTTGTTACCGCATCTCCCCGTTGTTGTGGCCAGATACATTCACTGACGTCCTACTTTGTGTATGCCTACACATCAGAGATGAGCAACGGGTACCCAGACCCAGACCCACCCCACCCACGAGGGATTGGGTCAGGTGTGGGTCTTGATAAAGCTGGCATGGGTGGGATGAGGGTGAGGGTCTAGGCAAGCCAGCCTGGGTGAGTGACGGGTGGGTCAATGTTAGGCCTGGGTCACCCGAATGGGTGGGTGACAGGCGGGTGAGCGCTAGGCCTGGGTCACCCGACCCACAGACCCAGGACAACCCATAAGAACAAGCCCACCCTCAAAAAAAAATTAAAAAAAATAATCAAGGTGACCCAACCCATCGAAGCGTTTTTTTGAAATTTTCCTCCCACACCCAACCCGCCCGTCACCTGTAAAAAAAACTTCACCCTGACCCACCCACACCTACGAGAACAGGATTACCCGCCCGCACCCTGGACCTAATTATTTTCCACCCACACCCACCCCTTCCCCATTGTCTGCCCCTTTGAACATTTACACGCACCATAGCCGCATAGCAACATGACATCCTTCAATGACAGCGCAAAAATTCAAAGCAGCTGCACCTTGCGCCATCCTTGAATGACGGTGCAAATTTTGAAGCACTCCACAAGTTTGACATTTGGGAGCGAACCTTGCCACCTGCTGTGGTTAGGTTGGGAGCTATGTGTGTCTGGCATACCTAAAAACAACAAAAAAAAAAGCACTCGCATACAAATGTGGTTAGGTTGGGAACTAGGTGTGTCTGGCATACCTACAAAAAAAAAAAATGTACTCGCATACAAAGCATTGTACACAAGTACAAGACAGGCTTTGTACTCGTATGTGCGCGACCCGCGCCAGTAGTTTTCACGGGTTGTTAGGGAATGAAAAAAAGAAAAAAACATTGGGTGACAGCCCCGTGAGGGCAGTATCAGGAGGGAAAAAAAAAAAAGAGAGTATTCTTAGGATTTTTTTTTCCTTCCGAAAATAGGTTTTTTTGTGGCATAGGCATCGATAGCGCCCACAGCCCGGAACTTTGGTGGAGGCTCTGGAGGGCGTTCCCTCTGTGTGTGCGTGTGTGTGTGTGTGTGTGTGTGTGTGTGTGTGTGTGAGAGAGAGAGAGAGAGAGATCTGTCCCATAGAGTGATCAGATAGATCGGATTGATCGGTCCAATCAACCAATCAATCAATCAACCAATCTATCCATGATCAACCTTTTCTTTTATTTAATAATAAATGAGTCAGACCAAGGAAAAGAAAAAGGGAAATTGTTGAAATGCCCCTGAGAGTTGGGTATTTCGTCTCATCCCCCTAAAAGGCATGGTTATGGCAAAATGCCCCTATGACAGTGGTGAAACTTTGTGAAATACCCCACTCGCCAATTGCACCTGTCATCTTTTGCATATACCCCTACAGGACCCTGGGCAACTTGTCTATATGCCCTGGCATTTCTGGCCGTTGGACCCTGCAAATGGCAAAAGAAACACACACTGGCAGCCCAGGGACATGGCATATGGCAAAGTTGCCCATGAGCGGGATGGGCGCACATGCAGAAGTTTGTGCTGAACAGGGCAGTTTGTGCACTGGCCCAGTCAGCAGATTGGCCAATCTAGGTCTGTAATCCCCAACAACCCGCAACAGAACCCCCCCCCCCCCCCCCCCCCCC